CTGATCACCCTATCTCCTGAAAAAAGACAAAAGCTGTTTCCCACAGTTATAAATACTCAGTTCTCCAACAAACACCAACAGAACATGGACAAAGTTCCTACTCCAGTCTTATGAAGATGCCGGCCACAGAGACTGGTGAAACGTCAGAAAGAACAACCTTCAGAACACAGCCAAAGAGCCCGAAAAACCCACAACAAGCTTTAAGTTGGTTTTAGTTATTCAGAGGTCTGCGGATATCAGCAGAAGGACAATATAAATACATAAAAACACACAATAAATAGAACAGGAGCATTGAACTCAACAGCCAGACTTTGTGTAAGCTTGGTGGAACCTGCTGCAGCTAATTTGCAAGTGATGGGACTTGTCTCAGTCCTGTACCTAACTGCACAATACCAAGATGAGCCCTGGAACTTTATCATTTGGCTGCATGTTAAGGAAGTCTTATGTGAACTCCATTAGAATGCCAGCCAGTGAACTAAAACCTATTCTTTTAGAATCAAGAAATTCATGGGCACAGGAGGTGGTGATATAGAAACACCATCCTCCTAAAGCACAACAGTCATTTGACTTTTAAAAACAATCCTTTCCTAAATGGTCACCTGGTCTCTTTTTCTGGAGATTCCCCATGCAAGGGACTACTCAAAGACAGACAGATCACCCTGCTTTTAAAATAGGTACAGTATCCTAAAAAACTAATCTTCAGACACTCAATCCATATGCATATAGTAGTATCACAGTATGCTGGGTGCTGTACAAAACATGTGAGAAGATGTGAGGAGAACACCTTCAAGAGGGTTTCCAATTCATATTGACACAAAAGGATGAGCAGGACAGATTAGGCAAATGGAGCTTAGAATATTTATTCTCAAAGGCTTTCACGGCCAGGATCTAATGATTCTTGTAGGTTTTTCGGGCTCTTTGGCCGTGTTCTTGAGGTTGTTCTTCCTAACGTTTGATCAGTCTCTGTGGCTGGCATCTTCAGAGCACTGGAGTCAAAACTCTGTGTGTGCTCTGGTGCAGTTTGGTGGGATAGTATAGAATAATTAAGAAAAGGACGTCAAGGAGTTGGGATGTGACTGAGGTTTATTGAAGCCTGAATTGTATTAAGAGCGTGATTGTTGTTGTTGTTTAGTCATGTCAACTCTTCGTGACCCCATGGACCAGAGCATGCCAGGGTAATTACCAAAGGGTAATTTTACTCTTTCTCTCTTATGCCATTAGAATTATCCAGTGACAATATGACAACAACAGCAATAGATTCAGGATAGACAAAAGAATGCAGTTCTTCACACAGTGTAGACAATACCTTTGCTAAATTCACAGGGGACAAGATGTGGTGATAATAGCCATTGACTTATTGACGTTCAAGGTATTTTTGACAAAGAGGCTTTGTAAAGAAATACTAGCCATAAATAGAGCCTCCAGATGCAAAGTAATTTATCCAGAATGTAAGTGGCTGGGAGGGACCCACATGCTTCAGGGAAGACTTATCAAGACCTACCTGTGCAGAACTGTTATGAGGACTAGATTGGTTGGAAAGTTTTTGAGTTTTTAGATTGAAACTATCAGTGGTCAGTGTCAAGGAGTTTGAGAACTGATGTGGAGAAGAAGAAAAAAAGAGAGGTAAATTTCCCATCTTTGACCTGACAAGTCTTTGAGCTTTCCGTATGTTCTTTGGTGTAGTTAAACAGGAATGGCATAAAACTAAGGATGTCTCTGGAAAAAGTTTTGCTGAAGAAATAAGACTTTAGACAAGGCCCTGGAGATGAGATCATTCCAAGCACAAGAAGATAATATGAAGTTTAAAGTTCCCCAAAAGTTGCTGAAGCATCCTTCCTCCCCTATCCCCTGAGTTGAAACTAGAGGCATCAGGAATCCCATTTACTCTTATGATACTCAAGAATCCAAATTTAACTCCACTTTAAACAGGACCCCATCGTTCTGTATTTTTGCATGAATCATTATACTGAGGTGCTTTAAGACAAAGAAGACAAGCCCAGGGCAACAGCTCATAAAAAGAACAGACAGCTTCCATCTCTGAATCAGAAGTGAATAACAAATCAAATCTAATAGACAGGCTTATCCGGACACAAATCACAGACTGAGTGGGAAAGAGCAAGACTATCGCACTAGATCGTGCCTCTCCTGTGGATGGATGGATGGTTTTGCTCATGACCTACACATTTTCATGATTCACTTGCAATTTCTCCTAGGACACTTGCAGCATAACAATGTGTCTTGCCATTGGGAATGACACAGCTAAACGATTAGGATCTCCACAAACTGACTGACACAATTCAGATAGTTGATTGTCAGTTGCTGAACTTGCCCACAAGACACCTTATAGGAAAACAGGAGTGTGGTCAGTTGCCCTTCTTTTTTCCTCCAGTCTATCTGATATTTTTCATTTTGTTCATCAACAGAATTTTGCTTGGGCAAATCACATGGCTGAATCGCTTTAAGGGTACCCAAGATCATATTGCTCTGGATAGTAACCATTTCTACAAGACTGACTGTCTCCTTTGAGCAAAATACAGTAGGCTTCTGCCTGTCATCTGATTGCCAAGGCAATCACTTTCCTGCCATCAAAGCATTCCTGACATAACAGTGTTAGGATAGGTTGGGAGTAATTGATGCAACCACTTAACAAGAAAGCATCAGCAGCAAGGAATGTCTAAAAAAAGGTACATGAATACAATGACATCATGCACATAGCTTCCATTCTTACTTTCACAGCAAGGAAACCACAGAGAAGGTTGTGATGTAACTTGTCATTTATATATATTGCACAACATCCATTTTTAGAAAGTTCCCAGTACCTGTCAGTACATCAAAATATGCACTTAAACAGCCAATGAAAACTGAGGAGAGATAATGAGACTTGGGACCACCAGATGACACATCTTTGTTAAAGTTGTGGGACCCACCAGTCCTTGGATTGGGCATCTTGTTTAAATGCAATAAAGTATGCTTTTATAAAAGGTTGAGGACATAGTATCAAACCTCATAAGCTTAGCAGATGGAGGATCAAAATGGACATTGGGTATACGGGAGGAAAGTCAGGCAAAAGGGTACCTTCTTTCTATTGTATGGGAATGACTTGCACTTGTTTTCTATTTAACTCTGCTGATAATGGTGTAGATTTGTTTTCCTGCACCTTGAGTGGTTTTCACTTTGTTTCCTGTTACTGTGACCAGATTTTGCACAGCTGGAAAATGACAGAGCATAATCCATGGCTAGAGCCTGATCCTACTGACAATAAGAATTGACTTCTGCTTTAAAAAAAAGATTTAAGACAAGGTTTCTCCATGAAACAATTACAATCATGGATTATTTTTAGAGATGGGCACAAAGCACTTCATGCCGGGTTGTCTTAAGTTGTCACCATGGTGCCACAGGTGCTGCACAGTCCCGTCCCCCACCGCCCTGCCAGCTTCTCCTACTCACCAGCTCATGAGCACTGCTCATTCCCTCCCCATCGTGCAATCTGCCAGGGATCGGTAGAAGAAGCACCAGGACCCAGTCCAGAGCAAGACCACAAGAACAAAGTAGAACCAACCCCACAGCCCAAGCAGAGACCAACCAGCTGGGGTTTTGAGTCCAAACAGCAGCCGAGTGGAAGGATGATGCAAATCATGATCAGACAGTCCAGGGGAAAAAGCCAGGAGGAACCATATCAAGGCAGCAGGGTCTACGGATGCAGGAAAGGAAAGACGGCAACAATCAGGCAGGGCAGGAATAACCAGGCAAGGCAGGTGCAAGGAGGCTGGCAGGTAAGGCAGACAGGTGAGGCAGGAATATCACCACAGCACAGCTGGAGAACTTCATTGCTGAGGTGAAGGCCTGTTCTTTTATAGCCCAGTCCTCAGCTTCCCCAGGTGGCACTCTTGAGGAGCTGGGTGACAGCTGCAGGGAAAGGGCCCAGTCTTGCAATCTCTAGAGCAGTTCTCCCCAGAGAGATGGGGCCGATCCTGCCTGCACTAAAGTTGCTGGGTTCTGGCAAGGCCACAGTTCTTACACAATCTTCCAGTCTAGGCAGGAGCACAGACTTCCCTTCTCCGCCTGCTCCAGCAGCTGCTCACTCACAGGTAGTGCTGCAGGAATCCCTGCCCTGCCTCCTCATCTGAGTGGGCAGGTGCTGGAGGAGGCAGAGAAAGAAAGTCCAGGGTTGCTGCCTCTCAGCAGGCACTGAGCTGCCCAGCTGATCCAAGCCGGGAAACCTGGTGCTGCGTCCTAGCTCACTTTTGTCTGAATTCGAAAAGAGAGGGATCTCTCTCCCAGTTTATTCCAGCAATGAGACCAGGCCCTTAGTTAGAGATATCCTGTTCTCAACACCAAACACAAACAAGCTGGCAGCTGCAGGGAGTGAAGTTCTGGGACTGTCACCCAGCATGCCCTTTGGATGTAAACTCCATATCCTAATTTGGTTCACACAAATGGTGTTATTAAGGGAGTGCTTCCCCATATCATTATCTCATGTAGTATCTCATTAGTGATCCTGAAAGCTCATTAGCATAGAGGCAGAGAGGCACTGTTCTGCTTTTCACAGATAACATTTTTATGCAGTGCTCACCCATGGCATGCCTGGGATGGCTCTGTATTTTTGTGGGCCTCCATAGGTCATGTGTTTTGAACTCTGAGAAAATGGCAGTGCACAATTTGGATATATTTCTCCCATCCTTGTTTTCCTTAGTAAGACAAGAAGAAGAAGAAGGAAGAAGGGAGGAGAAAGCGCAGGAGAGTTATGAATGGCAGAAAGCAGGTGCTGCCATCCAGGGGAAATATTTGTCCTGCAATCTTCTCACCTAAGTCATTGTATTTTATGGCAACGGTTCTGGTGTTCCAGATGATGTTACCCTCTATTTGTCTCTCTCCCAAATTTACCCACTATTTCTCTGGTCTTTTTTCCTAATTGGGGGTGAGGGTGGCCAGGGGTGAATCAGTTAAGAGAAAGAAGAAAAGTCACATTATGCTGCCTTTGGATTAATTGTAAAAAGCAAAAAAGTTAATTATGCAGGCTACACATTGCCCGCCCTCCCCCAGCAGGCTGGGTACTCATTTTCCCGACCTCGGAAGGATGGAAGGCTGAGTCAACTGTGAGCCGGCTACCTGGGATTGAACCCTGGGTCGTGAGCAGAGTTTTGGCCGCAGGACAGCGATTTAGGAGCCACTGCACCATGAGGCTCCTAACGATTGCACAAGGACTCCTCTATCTGGAATAATAATAAAAATTGTGTGCCACCAAGTCAAATCGGATTTATGGTGACCCTTTCAAGGATTTTAAAGGTAGGTAATAACCAGAAGTGGTTTACCATTCTTTTCTCCTGGAGGCATCCCGCGACGATGCCACCTAGGCTGGCTCTTGTGGGATGCAGAGTGGGGAGTCAAAAAGCCCAACCTCTGGCTCCACAGCCAGATGCTTAACTTATTGAGCTATCTAGCCAGCATTCTGTCTGGAACCAGCTGATACGAAAAGTTCATGAGTGTAATACATTACACAATAAAAGCACCTTGTGGGCAAAGCCAGTATTTGAGGGAGACCATCAGTTCTTTGCTCAGTTTGATCTGTGGACCTTGTCAAACACTAGTTGCTAAACTTGACGCTCAGTGCTTTCCAGCCTTCTCCAACATTGTATTCTCTAGAGAGGCTGGAGTTACAACTCCCTTGATCTTTAATCACTGTAACCATGTTGTCTGGATCTGATGGGAGCTGCAGTGTAAACATCGAGAAGGCACCAGGTTAAGGATGGGCTACACCAGTGCTCCCCAACCTTGGGCCTCCATATGTTCTTGGACTTCAACTCCCAGAAATCCTGGCCAGCAGAGGTGGTAGTAAGGGCTTCTGGGAGTTGTATTCCAAGAACATCTGGAGGCCCAAGGTTGGGGACCACTGGCCTACACCACAGAGAGATAGGCCTGTTATATGAGACCACTGGAGACTTAGGCCCAGCGATACACCACATTTTGCTTTTCTAAAGCTACATATGGTTAATTTGTCTTCTGAGAACAGTTTTACTAAGAAGATGGGGAGAGCTGACAAAGCCCTCTCAGCTAACTCCTCAGGAAATGATCTTCTTGTCCCTTTTTGCTTCTCCAAAACATTTGAATTCCCACATTTGTCAGAAAAGCATTATCTCTTCATTTCTTCACTGCTACATCTGAACCAAAGAACCACAGGAAGATGACTTCATCTCCATGAATATCACTACAAGGACTTCCCCTCAGAGCAATTGGGACCTGTTTGTGATGCTGTAGCGGTTAGAAATTCAACAGAGGAGGGAGAGTAAAAGAGAGGGTAAACATCCAAGGGGATTAGAGGGGAATTGCTATGGGCTGAGGAAAATCTACTAATTTTTCTTGGAAAACTAGTTGACACAGACATCCAGTTGCTAAAGATAAACCACACAGGGCTTTTTCAATATGTAATCTGGTTTACAAGTAGAAACCACAGGAGACTTAGACCTGGTGTTAATACACCACAGCATTCCTAGCCCCAGAATCTCAACAGAACCAAGACAAGCCAGTCCGTAAGGAAACCATAACCATTCTTCTCCATTGGAATCTGAAGGCCCTTCCCACTGTTGGCGCATGTTCAGGGGGGCCAGGGAGTGTTATCTCACAGGACATGTTGAAGAATCCTTCTGCTCAGACCCTTTCCTTAAAAACCCACAAAATGCTGTGCTACTTCATGTGTGTGTGCCCATGCATATGTTGTCTACTCCTATAGCTTCACCTACAACTTCTATGGAGGAAAGAAGTGCAGGTTCTTCTTCGTGGTCTCTGTGAATGCACACTATAGGGTTTAATCTGTGCTTGTGCAGAGGTTTCCAGAATACTCTAGAACTTTATGACGTATTTGCCAGGACTGCCCCCCTAGTGCACGTGGTCCGCCCGTCCTGGCGATTGCCTCAGTTCCTTTTTGCTGCCACTGAGGTTTCTTCTCTCGACAAGCTCTCCGTTCACCTTTATCTTCTCTTCTACATTTAAAAAATAAAGCATCCCCTGGGCATCAGTCCCTTTTCTCTGTTTCCAAGCATTTGGACATACGTTCTGCATTAGATGGTGAAGCATCCAATTCCTCTACTGCAGTGGTACCGACTTCATTCACCTGACAAGGACGAGAGACACCAGCATCAGCTGCGCCTTCACCTCCTTCAGATCTCTTTTTCTTTGGGGATCAATTGGATTGCTCTCTATTCCAATGTTGATCCTGATCACCAGCTGATACTCGGCACCAATTTAGTAGACCCTTGATTTATGGAATTAATCCGTATTGGAATGGTGGCCACAGGTCGAAAAGTCCGTAGGTCGAGGGTCCATTTCCCACAGGAATGCATTGAAAACCATTTAATCTGTTCCAGCCAAAGAAAAAAAATCCCGGGCTTCCAAAGCTGCACCAGCTGCCCGTGGGGACAGGAGGCAGAGGGCAACAGGGATGGGAGACAGAGGGCAGTGGGGAACAGGAGACAGGAGGGCAGCAGAGGGGGTTTGGAAGCCTGGGAAGCCGAAAGCTGGCAGCAGGCATGGAGGTCGGGGCAGCTTTTGGCTTCCTGGACTTCCAAAACTGCCCCCACTGTCCTCTGCCTCCTGTCCCCATGGGAGCCAAGGGAGCATATCAGCAGCTCCTTTGGGAAAGAGTCAAGCTGTTCCTCTATAATCCTCCTGATGACCAGAAGACTCTCACTCTCATTCTGTCAGGAGACTCACAGATTAGCTGGATACCAGGTAAGTTCCACACACCATCCTGCTGACTGTGTCAAAGTCATGGCGGCTGCCATTGCTCTTTGGCGCAACTCTGGACTCTGGACTACAAGCACTGAGGATGATTTGGCATTTGAAGGAGATGTTCTCTTCCACCTAGTTAAATCCCACACTACAGCCAAGCATGTTGGCCTCAGTTCCCAGCTTCCAATCCCCCCAGACCACAAGTTACTTTGGAGAAGATGTCATCATCCTTTCCCTAAGCAGAGATCACTCCAGCTGACAAGCAGCAGCAAGCCTTCAGGTAATCCAGAATTTCCACTTCTAGCATGTGCACGTAGCCTCCATCTTCAAAGACACAATTTTGACCAGCCTGTCCTTTGACTGACCCTGATCCCTCAACTATAGTTTGCAGTATTGACTATTTCATACCACTTAAGATTCTGGCACTCTATCACCACTTACCAATAGGTCCCTTGACCATTGTAGAGATGGGCCATGCTCTCATATTCAACACTCTTCCACGGATAGAAACGTTTTGTTAAAATCCTCTCTTTTCCCTCCCCATTATTGTAGAAAATTGACTCCCTTTTGCCAAGGGGGCAATTCAGCCTCTCATCACTCACAACACAAGTCTCTTTCCACTTTATTCCATAGGTCTCTTTCCCCTGACATGCTCAGACCTGTTCTAGATCTAAGAGGACTCAACCAGTCAGTACATCTTGAACAGAATGTTTCAGATGGTGACGTTGTCCTCCAACCTCCCCCTTCTGTGATGAGGAGGCTAGTTCACTTATATTGATCTAAAGGACACCTGTTTTCATTTTCCAATTTGCTCTACCTACAGATATTGTCTTGGGTTCATAGTAGGACTGGACCTCTTCCACTATGTGTCACCACAGTCCCTTGTGTTTTCACCCGGTGCATAGTGCTGATTGTGGCATTCTTTTGGACCAAAGGCATAGTTGTTTCCCAACACATTGATGACTGACATCTGATGGCAGACTCTTGGCCATGTCTCCTCCACTACATTCACTTTACACCTCCTTCACACTCTAGGCCTCTGGGTCAACAAGGAGAAATAATATTTTACCCCATCCCCATG